CTCCAAAACAGACTCAAACACTACTAACCCCTTACACCTTACTCTCACCACCTACACATGAATCACGTAAAACCGTATGGACAGAGTCTATGGATAAGAGCTACAACAGTAGAGACGAGTGCTCAAAACAGACCCCACACGTTTATCTGAAAATGTACACAAAGGTTCTAAATAAAAAAGAGAAAAATAATTAAAAGTGAGTAAGTACCTTTTATTTGTCAAGTATACAATGAAGAATTAGGTCTTTCTATGTGGTAATTTTATACAAAATGTGTATTCATTGAATTTACTGAAAATGTGATATATTGTGATATATATCGTTGTCCAGCAATGTCCAGAGTTTGAATGCAAAAAATATGTGATCTGAAGGGGTTGATGAGGCAGGAAGACAAAGCAACCACTTTGCTAAAGTTGCCAGCCGTGGATAACAGTCCACATTTCATCTCCACCATTCAAGAAGACCAGAATCAGGTTTTAAAAACAATGGAAGCATTTGAATCCTAATTTGGACAGATTATGGTCAGCCCTAGTTAACCTTCACTTAACTTCCTCCTTTTTGGTGGGAGGGGATGGGGCCCTGCGGGATGAGTGCATCATGGGTGGGAGACCAAAAGACAGAGTCAAGGCTGACTCATTTAATAGCCACAGACAGAGACAATGCTATTATCTGTCCGTGTTTGACACTCATCTTAGTCACACAGCACTGAGTTCCAGATGATTATGACTACTCTCGAGGAAGCTTCTGTCCCTTCCTCCCTGACCCTGATTTGAGGAACTGCAAAAATGACTTCATTTTGTATGAGTTCAAGACCATTAGTTATTACTGTGCAAACTCTGTTTCAAAAGCTCTTTCACTCTGTTCCCTGTCCATACTGTCTGACAGTTCATTCAGTCTACTGGTTTAAAATACCAGTGCTAATATTTGTAAAAAGTAGGATTCTTTACAACCTCATCAGCTGAACCCTGATCTTCAGTTTCATCCATCTGGGAAGACTGACAGCAGCTGCTTCAAAGTGGTTGCTCTGAAACACACCATGGTTGACATGCTTCTTTTGGAAAAGCCACTCAGCGTGATCACATGACAACCAGACCGCATCAGACAGCTGCGGGGTAATCAAAGACCTCATTCATTTCAAACAATTGAAGACAGCAGGAGATACACTCAATGATGATGCTGCCCTTTTGTGACTGTCCTAGCTGTGTTAGTACACGTCAGCAAACTTTTCAATATTTCCACTGACCATCCAATTCCTGACTGAGAACATCCCTGATTAGGCAGATTTCATGGCCAAAACAGAGAAGCTCCAACAAAGTGCCTACCCACAACAACATGAGGATGGGTGGTATTTCGTACTGGGCAGCACTGGTAGGGCCTATTCAGGAGGTCTAAACTTAAAGCCTGGACCACAATGACAGCTCTATTCAAAAAGTTTTTTTACATTTTCAGTCATTGGTGAGCTGATACTAAAACTTACGGTCACCAGATAAATCTGAGGTA